TGCGAGATAGGTCTATTTGGTACGTTTTGCCTCGTCTTGCGCAATAAGCGTTCTGCGTCTTTTTCTATCTAATAAAGTTTTCGTATTATTACCTCTTTGTCTGGTAAAATAGATAGGTCTATTAATTGTAAATTTCAGTGGCGTGGGTGGCTTCGGGTTCCCCCCCCCCCCAGGTCGCTATCCAAGCCTGTATTTTTACGTATAAGAATATAAGAAAATGTGGCAATATCAGGGCGTGGCACCCTGACACCTCAAGTTTTTGTTTAGATTTTTAAAAACAATCCATATCCTATATGTACGGGCCCCCAAACATATTCTCTGGGTGCGCCACTGGTAAATACAAATAAAGATGTTTCAATATTACAGGGACAAACTTAAACAAATGATCCCTTAACTCCCAATGTTTCTTTCAGCATTCTTCACTTGAAAAAATTGCCTAATTTAAATACTTGTTAAAATTTGCTGCTGTGGTAGAGGTACTCAATATTGAAAAGCCAAAATTTTGATACTTGCATATACTTTCCTTTTCTTTAAACATTTACTCACTTCAAGTGGCATGAAAAAAGATTTTTAAAAAAAATTTCTTTGTTAAAATTCCCCCCAGTAAAAATCTACCAAATAAATGCAAAACTTGCAAGAGTCTTGCTGCAAGACCAAGACCAAGACCAAGACTGGACCCTGCAAGACCAAGACCAAGGCCATTTATTAGACTGCAAGACCAAGACCAAGACCGCATATGCAAGACAAAGACCAACACCAAGACTAGCCCGGTCTTGGTCTTGGTCTTGCATTTGCTCATCACTATTTTCAATACAGTTTTCTAGTATTGTTGTGCTTAAGGTTGTTTCAATAAAGAAGGAGATGTTACTGAAATGTTGTGGTTTTATTTCGGAAAAAAAGTTACACATGGTAATAAAATAAAATCGATTAGGGTCAAATTATTTGAAAAAAGGCGGGAGACCACGTGACTACTGACACTAGCGCACCCATACTGTGGCAGTCATATCTACAACTCGTTGTATGAGTAAGACAAGGATAGGGAAAAAGGCATGAGTTTCTTATCTTATCTCTTATCAAAAATTATTAGACGTAATCGTGTTAATTCACCGAGAATATATTTCGTTAAAAGTAGTGTCGTGTGTGCCTTATTCACAGCCCGGAAATCCTTAATTACAACAGGTTATGGGCCCAGACATGCCTGGTCGATAAAGAAGGAAGAAAAAGGATTTCGGGAGTGGAAAAATAGATAAAAACATAACCCAGCCTAGAGAAAATTTGTCAAGTTGGCAGATTGTTTCAATAGTCCTATTGTTGGTAGTGTCTGATTAAAACTGACAGAGAAAACTTGTCAAGTTGTCAGATCGTGTCAACAGTACCTACTGCTGGTAGTGTGGTTAAAAACTGGCCGTCAGTTAAAACGGGTAATTGACAGACGGAAAAGAAAGAGTCAAAAAAAAATAGAATATTGAAGATTAGAAAGTAAAAAGGCTACAAGAAAAATGTCAGACAATCACACTGTTCAGTTTTGTCTACGCGCCCTATATATAGTTGTAAGTTAAATTGGGTATTTAGGATGTTAAATCCTATTTGGGAATGGAAATTGATTCGTTTTTCTTTATTTTTTTGTTTTTCTCTTATTCTAATTGAATTGCGAGTCCTCTATGCCTAAGAATGATACGGCCTTGCTAAGTTTGGCCGGTTAAATCAAGACGGTTTCGTTGCACTCCTACGCATTGGACCTGAACTTCCTGAATGAGCTGGCCAGCTAAGTGGAATTTGGAAGTAGAGCAAGGTAAAGTGAAAAAATATCCTTTTCAGTTTCGATATCTTTCAATTTCATTTTAAAATCTTCCATCGATTACCATTCCATCAGCAACCTGTGGATTTTTCAGTGGTCGTGAAACTGAATGGAGAGAATTAGACTATTTGGAAATTTCCATTGAGATAGTATATAGGGGAGGAGGCGACGTCACCTGACCAGAAGCTATAGCGGGTACGCCATACTGGTGCGGGTTTTGTGTCATAACTTACTGTCATTACAACTGTCATATTCAATTTCTGATTTCGAGACGTATAGGTTTTTTACGTTATATTTAGGATGACGTCAGAAAACAAGGACTGACAATGTTGTCAATGTCTATTTGTTTTCTTATCATTTACCAGAATCTCATAGTGAATTATCAAGACCCTTGACAGCTAAAAATAACGAAATGAATCGACACCGTAATTTATCTGAAAATGTTCATTTAAATCATACAACATCGTGCGCCGTTGCCAACCAGAAACATCTAAAATTTCCCTACTTTAAATGCGTTGGGAAGTACTTTTAGTTTTGTTAGATTTGCAGCAGAAATTTACTAAATGTGATGTCATCCTAAACATAGCGTGAAAATCCTATAATACCTAATTTTTGCTTATTTTGGTATTTTCTCGACCTGCTTGTGTTGTGTATGAGAGAAGTATAATGTCTTCATGTGCAGTAAGAAGTTGCTGCAGCAGGTTTTACGTAGAAAAGAAGAAATCAACGGGAATATCATTTCATAGGTGAGTATAAACAACATTCAGGGTCGGATTGTAGTTTTAATATGTAGTTATGTTTTGAGAATGCAGATTGCAGAAAGAAGATACTTGAATATTAGAATGACATACCTGACAAAAAATAAACCAAAAAAACCCATTAGAGAAAGACATCAAAGCAATAAGCTTACATTATTTAAGGGTCAATGAAATTTTTATGTAAACAATAAGATTAAGCGATGTGGTAATTTTTTTTAATATCCTGCCTTTATATGTTTGCTAACATTTATTAAATAGTTGTTTTTTTCGAAGTGTTTTTGTTAAATAACGATATTTTTGTTCCTTCTGTATTATAAATGTGATATAAATATGTTATCTCCACATTCAGAAACAATTTTTAGGCCACATAAAAACAATTAAATACATGTAAAAATTGAAATACCAATAGAGTTTGAATTTTAAATATATTTGAGCTGAATCCAACCCTGATCATGCGGCCATATTGGTGCTGGAATAAGCTCCAAAAAATAATCCCTTTATCAATGCATACTCGTATATGGCAACAGCGTCTCCTTTTATATACTATACCAATGGAAATTTCAAACAATGATACATTTGAAGTCTAAAAAACTTCATGGCATAGTAAAAGGTGTCATATTGAAGCCTTTGGGAGAATCAACAGAGAAAAAGTGAAAGAAGTAATTGTTAGAAGGCTAGAAGAAAAACTACTTAACCACATGTGTTGGCATCATGTGATACATCTGTAGAAATGTGGTAAAAATTAGCTACAATTTATGAAAATAAATAACACGTGAGTGTGCATTTATCACAACAAAGATTTTTTAGCCTTGAATATAGAGTTGGTATGGCATCAGCTGAACTAGTTTCACATATAGAAGAAATACAGGAAAAGTTAAAGCAGCAAAATGAAGAAATAAGTGACAAAAACGCAATTACAAAAATTCTCATGATTTTACCGGAGAATTTAAAGCATTTCATTTCGGCTTCGGATTCGACACCAAACGTTGTCAGAGCTTATGTCCAGGCTTTTAGTAGAGAAAGAAAGAAGTAAATCAGAAAATTTAGGAGCAGCATTGGCTATAAGAAGAAATAAAACGCGAAACTACTCATCAGGGGATCGAGTGAAGGAAGTAAAATGTTTTCAATGCAACAAAACGGGACATTGAAAGAAGGACTGTCCACATAAAAAAAAAGATGGTCAAAGATATCGAGGCAAATATAAAAGAAACAAAGAACAGAGTGATCAAGGAAGGGGTGGAAGAAACCCAAAAGCCCATTCAACACAGGCATTGGTGGAAATGTCTAGTTTGTTGAATTAGGTACACAAATATCCTAGCAAAATCTGGAGAAACTAGAAAAAATGATGATTGGTGGTTAGACAGCGGTGCCACAGTGTTATAGCAAAGAAAAGTTTGTTGAAATTCTAAAATCTACAGAGCTGAGAAAAGTGAAAGTTGGAAATGGAGTTTTCTTAAATGTAGAAGGAATGGGAATAGTGAACGTGTGAGCATTTAATGCTTGCTCGTACATGAATTAGATGTTAACTTGTTTTCATTGAGTACTGTTCTTGATAGAGGCCTTGTAATGTATTCAGACAAAAATCATCGTGAATTGTTGGATGAAAATGGGAAAATAAGAGCTATTGCTAATAGAAAAGGGAGGCTCTATACAAAATGAACTTCAAATATACAAGGTATTCTGTCACAATGCAATCAAGTGGAAAGTTTAACTGATTGGCATCGAAAACTAGCACACATACATTTTAATCAAGACAGAAACTTGTGAAATAAAGTAAAAAGATATAGATAATCTTTAGCAACATAGGCTGACATTTTTACATATAAGTCAAGAGGTATTATTGTCGGCGAGCTTATACATGGTGACTTGGAAGGTCTAATGGAAAGTGTCTTCGTTGGGAGAAGTAAAGTATTTTTTGCTGTTGAAGGATAATTTCTCTGGTTTTAGATTTGTTTATTTTCTAAAGAAAAAGGCAGAAGCGTTGTCAAATTTAAAAAAAGTTTTTGAATATGGTGGAAACACAGACGTGAAATAGAGTTGAAAAACTGATAATGGATTGGAATTCATAAATCATAAATATATTGAATGATAGAGGTATAATTCATGAAACATCATGTGCATATACACCCCAACAAAATGCAAGTTGCCAGAACATTACTGCATAGCAAAAATTTAAACAAAAAATTATGGGCAGAAGCTGTTAACACTTCAGTTTTTATTATATACCGAGCTGGATGTAGCTCGAATGATCCCAACACTCGCGTTCGGCTCGTGTTTGAATTTTCATTCTCGTGAATAATATCTAACATTATATGCTCTTTAACTTTCAATATGTGTATTCATTCCCAAATATTGACATTCCTTATTCAAAATCTATAATAGAAATTCGTTTCTATTCAAATTTGTCCTATGACTTTCCTATTATAAGTTGAAAGTTCACTCACCTTTTCTTCGATCCGACATACACAGCGTAAGCCAAAGGACTGAACCCGACCAAACTCGAATAGACCCAAAAAATGAAAATATACCGTTCGACCGCCGAATGCGTAATCAAATTATTATACCGCAAAGGTCGAGCTAGCGAAGTAAACCGGTCCACAGCTATCGCTGCCATCACCAAAACCGAAACGCAACACAAACTAATCACTACACCGTAACTGAACAGGCACAATTGGAACCCCGATATTGTATTATTGGCTCCGTTCAGTTCCAAATAAAATCCCACCGGCATAAACATGCCTACACCCAAATCGCTAGTTGCAAGCGACATCACTAAGTAGTTACTTGGCGTCCGTAGCCGTTTTATCCTGTAAGTGGCTACTAGCACTAGAGAGTTGCCAATGAGAATCATTGGCGAAAGTAGAAAAACTATTAGCACTACAATGGTGACCGCTAACGGTGACGTCAGTCTGGTTACTGATTTGCTGATGTTTACCTCGGAGAGGTTGTCGGGGGTGAAATCAGCGTGGTTGGTTCCTATTAAGGCTAGTTGACTGTAGTTGAACAGGAGGTCATCCATTGGTTGATTGAAGTTGGGTGGTTCGAGATTTAGCTGATTAAATTCGGCAGCTTGAATGATCGTTTCGGTTTCTTCATCATAAGAATTATTGTCTGGAAAAGAAATGAAACTTTACAAAAAGTGCCTCTTGTAAAACGGAAATGTTATTATTTTGAACATTTTTAGGTAAACTCCTATATACGAGTAGTCAATCATCTTGCACTAATAGTATCAAGCACAAGAAAATCTTAGAATTTGGACTTTATAGAGCTATAAAAAAATCCTATCTCTCCTGAAGCGAAAGTTGAAAAAACTCACATGACTGATCATGCTTGAGTTAAAATTGAGCTACAGGGCTTATAGAACGGAAATGGAAGCATTAAAATCTACTTTATTATAGAGCTGAATCCAATTTTCAATCCTGCTGATTCAAAGGACATTGTTGAATCTTGAGGGAAAAGAAGCTTATAAATCTTAAAATCTGCTCTATAAGCATGAATAAGCATGAAAATCCTGGCCTTGCTGAAGTCAAAATTCAAATATAGAAATCATATTCTAGAGTTGAGAGAATATTTTTTTTACTACTAACCTGAGAAATAGTCATTATTCAATCTATTTTTCTAGGAAAAAACTGAATTTCTCTCCCTAGGTGAATAATGAAAAAATACCTAGGTCAATAATGAAAATGACGTCATGATGCAAGGATATTGTCATGTTTTTATTGGTTCAATTTCAATTTCATACGTCAATTTAAAAAAAAATACAGGTTTCTGTAGGTACATAGGAAGTTATCATAAGCTGTTGATAGAGGGCACCACTTTCAAGAGGGCGTTCAAAAAAAATAATTAAGAGCACAGATTTTAAACAACTTTTTTATTTTCTACTAGCAGTAGTAAAAAAAATTCTATATATTGCTCGGTAGAGAAAGTCATTATTATATACCTCACGCATTATAAACCTCGGCGCTTCGCGCCTCAGTTTATAAAAGCGCTCGGTATATAATGACCAACTTCTCTACCTAGGTATATAATATACTATTTTTCTGCGATTGACAAGAAATGTCAGCATTTTTGACCGGTTGACAGGTCGCAAAACTTAATATTCTGCGGTATTTTCATTATGTTTCAATAGTTGCTAAGGAATCAATGAATAACAATACGGGAATAGGCCGGAAAAGTGATTCTCGAACTGCTGAATATTTGGAACCAAAAGACAAACATTCAACCGATTGCAGAAAAAATACTATGTGTATTTCGGTGAAAAAACACATTCTCGGCCTTCGGTGTCACTTTTTCACCTAAATAGACAATTTACTATTGTTTTTCTAGACCGGAAATTCAATAAAAGCCTGAAATAGAGAATAAAAATGACCAAATTTTCTTAAAACTTTTGTCTCTTTTTCTCTTCTCTTTAGTTTCAATTTCCAACTATTCCAGGTTGTTGAATTTCTGTTTCTACCCAAATTTCTTTTTATAGAAGAATCAATAAGGATCACTCAAAAGCCTGGAATAAAATTTCTTTCCATAAAAGAATCAAGAAACAGCCAAAAGCCTGGAATAGGAAAGAAAAATGATCAAATTTCGACTCTATTAAACCTGAAATTAACCTGTGCTTTGAAATTAAAGCCGATGAAATTCGCATTTTAGTTCATTTCCAGGATATATTATTGGACATATCCGAAAGCTATATCTATATCGAGGGGAAGTTTAAGCCCAAAGATCCGACTAAAAAGTGCTACCTATCCAATAATGTGCTAGCCCTTTTGTTCGACAAAATTCGGTATGAAATAGGTGGTGAGCAGGTGGCAGTTGTTCGAAAACCTGGAAATACAATAACCCTAAAAACAATGCATCCTTTGGTGCTTCACAACTGAAACCCCTTCTAACATGTGGTTGGGAGTTGACAGAAAATAAACAACATATTATCGATTGTACTACCTAGTCAAATGTTTTCCGGTAAATTACCCTTAAAGTATTTAATGAATTTTGCCGAGGACTACACGAAGGGAATTTTCAACGTGCTTTTATTAGTAATTGGTCGGACCTTTACCAACTGCTATATGAGCGAAGTGGAGGCATACACCACACTTGACAAAATTGAATGGAAAATTCGTCATATCATTCCAATTGAAAATAATGAATAGAGGCGTTGCTAGTGCCAATATTCAAATGGCTTACCGCAAATGGGACCTTTACGAACTTCCTGCTTTGAGAACAAGTAACAGTTTGCAGAGACCACGCTATCTTATCATCGGCTTTCAAAAAAATGAAAATTGTGACAAGAAAGAAAAAGATGCCACAAAATTCACAACCGCAGATGTAAGCGACACTGGCGCCGACTACATGGGGGCATTGGGGCAGGTGCTCTTGTGGGGAATGCGGAAGTACAAACGTATTTGATGGACATTCCGTTTCGTGGGGTAATATCAGTATCATGCAATTTAAATTTAAAACTACCCAGGATGTCCCGTAGAGATTTTAGACCTCTTGGATATTTGGGGTGATCACAGGAACGTCGAGTGAGCGGCCGCTTAAGATGACTTCGGCCAGAGAGGATCGGCTCTTGATGTAGAGGTCCTGCGCCTTTTTGTAGAAGGATTGGCGAGGATCCCGACCAGTGAAAGTTTTGCCGTAGTTTGAGGGCTTTCTACCAGCCGCGGCGCCTAAAGGGCCCGCGACAGGAGAGTGATTTCTCCACCCCTTTTCCGAGATTTGACCCCGAATCGCTCGGAAGTCCAGCTTTTTAAGGCGGAATCGAATTGCTGGTCACTTCCGGTCAGGGTCATTTGAAGAAGAGTTTCCGAATGACGTTCGCCGTTGTTGTTGGAATTGGGGTTGAGGTGGCCGCGAAAAGTGGCCAGCTGCATTAGAAGGTGATTGAAAATGCTGGTCATGCCTCCCGGCTCTCGGTTCAGAGTTGCCACTCCCTCCTGACCGACGTTAAATTCGTCGGTGAAGTCAATGACCGGAAGGGGAGATGGCATCAGTGAAGCAGCTGGGGGGGTTGTGAGGTGGTGTGGTGTGTCGGGTGGTCATCTATGAATGTCACTCGATGTTTGGGTGCCCAATGGAGTGGACTATTAGAGTCATTCCTGGAAGACTTTGGCCTCGGTCTCTTCCGGGTGGATATGATGAGGGGGTTTGAGACGCACAACTCTGTTCTTTGTCCTGCCTTGTCCCTTATCCTTAGCTACAGGCGTGCTAGGTTCAGGCGTTCAGGGATTGTTGCGCTGGTGACTGGTGTGCTATCGTCTCCCAAGATGAGGTTCGATGGGGTCCAGAAGACCGAATTGTCAGGGAACGAGGGTGGGTGGTGGGTCGTCCTGGGTCGATCTGGGGGTGAATTTTTGATGGACCAGGAGTTTGCAAGTAATATCATGTAATTCAAATTTACACAGTTTGCGCCTGCAGCAACCTTCCCCCTCACCCTGTAAACACATTTATAAAGTTATTATCCTGCACACATAACCTATATACAATATCCTTAGAAAAGCTGGAAATCACACTATTGCTGGCCCCATTACCATCCTGTTGTTAAATTTTATATAGAACAAAATCGAAGTTTCAAAACTTCCAAATCGTTTAATTTAAATGAAGAATATCATACATGTTACATAAACGTCCTTTTTCTATTTTAGGCTCTAAATTCCTTATCAATTTCAATCGTACATAATCGATAGTTCCATAATAAATCATTACAAGAAACGAGATTTTTCCTTGATCCACATCCAAGTGGCCAATTTCTTTCAGGTAATGATAAATGAAACGGAATTGGTTTTTGCCCTTTTCTCCGTTTGACTGAAATAGGAAAAAATACTCTATTATTGGATTCTGAACGCCCTTGTTCCCGATTGAAACCAATCGCAATTTCTTGAATATAAAATTTTAAACTTTTAAACATCTCGAGACATTTTATGTCACTCAAAAATCGAGAACCACTTTGTTTCCCGTCGAAAATTGATTGAAGCATAAATATTGGATCAAGTTACAGAGTACACTTATTCTGAAAGCGAACATTTATGGGAAATTTTCCAAAAATTCGTTGAACTATTTCCTGGAAGATTCCATAAGGTGTCTTTAACGCGCAAATAGGTTTCGAAATGCAAGCAAACATCAAAGAACACTTTACATATACAATTACGACATAAGAAAAACGTTGTTTGAATAGAGAAACTTCCTTTAGGGCCTTATCTCCTTTGTTGAATATATAGTGGGTTGGAAATACGTTAAGAGATAAAGGATTTCGAAATGAAATGAAACTATCATGACAAAACCAGAAGGGGTAGTTGATGATGATTTAAAAATACATACACAGTATGAAATAATCAAAAACTTTAGTGTCAAGATTCAGACTTAAAGAAGAAATGTTTTTCTTTCACTTAAAATGTTTCATAAAAAAACCTGATGAAGGACAAATACCTTGTCCTCTTTGCACGTTTTTCTTGAGGTAAAAAGTCATTGTCTGGAAGATGTTCGTGAGAATTAATTTTCTTTTAAAATGGAAAATTGAATATCGAATTCCACAAAGTAAAAAGTAAATATTATTCCACTGTCCAATTAAGAAAGTTTTAATAATTAGAAAGTGTAGTGCAAGGAAATTCGAAAAAGTTAACAAAATATGTCAGTAGACACAATAGAAGATGATTTGCGTCTTGACCAACCTGGCTATCTTTGAACATTTTTACAATAATTTAAACATCCAGACATTGATAAAATTATAATAAATGTGTCATATACCTATAAATAATGTTTCTTATTATGCAATACCAAATTATGCTAAATTTATCTCTGGAATGAAAAAGCCTAAAGAGCTCCGAGCAATTTTCTTTTTATAGCAAATGCCATCAAGGAGCGTTTCCAAAATAATATAATCCGATGGAATATGAAATGCAAAAGGATCCACTTGTTCCATTAAGTAATTTGTCAGCAGCTTGGCAAGTTGAATAAATTTTTTTGCGTCTGAAGGGTTCAATGTTCGCTTTAAAACAAAATCGAACTTGATGGTCTTTTTTTAGTTTTCGTGTTTCTACTTGATATCAAATAATTCCATTTGATTAAGGTAAAAGTAAATGAATGAAAATATTATTAGTTGTTTTTTGTTCTACATGCGATGA